TTGACCCGTATCTTCGTCTATAAGGTTATTAACCTTTATGTCCATTGGCCAACTTCCCCGAGAGTCATTGGTTTGAAAGTAATTGGCCTTGGCAACCATCTGGACTCCATATAGACGCTTTAGCTCCATTCCCAACCCTCCATCTAGACCCTCTTTCTAGTAAATTATAGCCTCCAAATACTACGCCATGTATAGGATGGAGAAGATCCTAATGATGCACCAAAAATATCAGTATTCGGATAATACCTTGCCTCAAATTTCAGTTCCGGGAAATGGATTGTTCTTACACTTTTAAGTTCTAGTAAAATTACTATATTTTGCTATTTTGTGGTATTTTTCATATTTTTATAGCTTAATAATTAAGATTTTTGGTTTGAATAGTAGTTTACAGTTTTTTTATTGATGTACGCATATACAAATTGACATTAAACATATATAAATTAATTTTGTTTTGTGATAAATATGATAGTAAACTTATGAAAATTAACAATGAACTTCTGAAATTTTGAATATTTTAACAAAATATGATAGTAAACTTGTGAATGTTAATAGTGAACTTTCAAAAATTGGCTGAATCTGAACTCATGAACATTGAATATATTTAACAAAATATGATACATATATAGTGAACCTCTGAAAATTGAAAACTAACTTCTGAATATTGAATGTTAGCTTCTCTCAATTAGTATTTTAACAAAATATGTTAGTGAACTATAGAATGTGAGTATTTTGACAAAAAAATACAATGAAATTCTGAAAATTGACAGAAAACTGAATACAAAATCGAAAATGAACTTTCAAAATTGGTGGTGAACTTCTGAAAATTGAAGATAAAACTCTAAGAATTGACACGGACTTTGTCATTCTTAGGTGAACGCATCGGAAACAAAGTTTCAAAATTGGTGGTGAACTTCTGAAAATTGAAAAACTCTAAGAATTGGCACGATCTTTGGCAATCTTAGGTAAACGCATTGGAGACGCGCACCCACACCGTTTGTAGACTCTTAGCTAATAAAAATGCCAGTATTTTTATAAACTAAAAGATCAATGACTTTTATCGAAACAAAAAGAAAGTTTATCTTTTTTACTAATAAAATTACATCCGAGGGACCTTTTAGCATATTAATTCCCTCGATGTAAAATATGTAAAAAAAATATAAAAAAAAAAAAAATCATTACATTGGGAATTCTTATTTATAATTTTATTTGTGAGGTGTGAACATATGAATTCCAATTTTTACCCTAATTTTACCCCGATTTTACCCTAATTTTCTCTCATAATGCTCATAAATAAATCAAACATTTTCTTAAACTCCTTCACCATCTTCTGAGCAGTGTCTTGTTCTTCCGACCCAGAAATCCTTTTTCTTTATTCTTTTAATGGAGATAACAAAAAAGTACCGCCGTAATCTCTCAATTGACAGGCTCAGCGAGTTGCCAGACTCAGTCCTCTGCTACATTCTCTCATTTCTCCCAACTCAGAAATCGGTCGCAACCAGTATTCTCTCTCGAAGATGGAGGTATCTCTGGACCGACGTTCCCAATTTAGACTTTGTAGACGAGAATCAAGGTACAATAAATAGGGTACTATCGCTATACAAAGTGCAAAAAATCAAATCTTTTTGCCTCGCCGATGAGATTGACTGCGACGATTATCAAATTGGTACATGGATTACCTTTGCAATTGAGCGGAATGTGCAAAATCTCGATATTTGGCGCGAGTCGGCTGATGTATTTCTGCCTCGATCCCTCTTCACCAGCAAAACCCTAGTCGATTTGAGGCTCAATTGTTGTGCTGAGTTCCCCAATATCGGCAGTGCAGTGAGTTTGCCTCTCCTGAAGAAGCTTCATCTAATCTTCATTAGCGGATACGAGTCCCTCCCCCACCTTCTCTCGGGCTGCCCAGTGCTTGAGGAGTTGGTACTCCAATTGTCCTTTGAATATTGTTCTTTTACCATATCTTCGCCGACAATCAAAAAACTCGAGATCGATATTAATGCCGAGATTCCTGAGGATCTCGACGAGATGCACTACGTGGACTACAGCCTGGAGATCGATACCCCTGCCATTGTTTATCTTAAGCTATTCGATAACGCGAACTACCATATCAAATTCGGATCGGTGGCCTCCTTGACTGAAGCAAGTGTCCATATTCAGGATTATAGCAATGATTTTCTTTATTCTCGATCCGTGGTGCAACTTATTCAAATGCTTCGTAACGTCCGGTGCCTAAAGTTACATTTGTCGCATCGTGCAGAGGTTTGCGTTTTAGATCCGTTTTAGCGCATTGTATATTATTTGCTTTAGTGGTGGTGATCTTATAGTGTGTTTGTGCGTGTCTTTCCAGAATATTCACTCGGTGTTCGCTGCACGAACTATAAGTTTTCGTAACGTAACCAAACTCGAGATGACTACTGATTGTCTGTTTCTCCCGAAGCTCCTTGAAAATGCTGATAATCTTGAAATCCTTATTCTCCATGAGGTTTGTTGACGATGCAATAAATAAAAAAATTCGACTTTTATTTATTTATTAATTGTCTTGAATAAGTTTGTTTTGATGTTGTTGTTATGAACAGGTGAATGAAAAAATAGACAGATGGATGGAACCCCAACAAGTGCCAACATGCCTCGTATCACGTCTTAGAACGGTAAAGCTTTTTCGCTTCGTACAGACAAAACGCAAGTTTAAAGCTGTGAAATATCTTTTGAAGAATGCTGAAATCTTGGAGAAGATAGAAATAGTATATCCATGTTATCTTACTTCCAAGAAAAGGATTTATATGCTCGATAAAATCTCATCGTTTGAACGAGGATCTAGTGCATGTGAAGTTGTTGCCTATGTTGGGTGAGGTTAACGGAGGTAAACACGCAGTTGCTTGTGAAATGGTTTATGTACTCGGGCCTCTATGAACAATTTAATCATTATCATCTGGTTTATGTGCGCGAGCTACAAAATTCACCATCTTTATGTTTTCTTCGAAATTTTGGTTACTATTCTGCCACAAAATATTGTCTTTTAATTGCCCGAGTAAAGGGGGGTAAACTTAAACCATGTGTTGTACCGACTGCAACGACTATGAAACTGTCGTTGTCATTGTTTTCGAGGTGCTTTGATTTGCATCAAATTATTGCTTTGTCATCCCCATTGCAGGTGCTTTGTCTTGGCTAGGTGAAATGATTTGGCACATGAACTCAATGATTTTACTACTTCTGGGTAGAGTAGATATAAAACACCCCTGTACTTAGTTATCCATAAATTCTTGATCTCTTGTCTGAACATTTGATAGAGGTAGCATCCGTTAGTTTTCCGTCAAAATTAACTATGGGTGTCAAACGTCAAAATAGTATATTTTGCAGATGACCCTCTTGTACTTACATTTTTCCTTTAATTTTTGCAAATGACGCGGTTAAGTTTGACGGAAAAACTAACGGACGCTACCTCTATCAAATACAAGGTTTATGTGCTGATATTACGAGCACAAGGGGGTCATTTGCAAAAGTTTGTAACCACCGTGGGTTAGGTGTTATTTACCCTTTCATTCAAGAGTGGGATCCTAGTGGAAGCATTCTTGTTTTTTTGCATTAGTACCCCAATTTGGGGACCTTTAGATAATTTTCGTAAATTAGTTAGCTATAGGGCTGATAGTTGTAGGATTTCCATTTTTCGCCCTTCTTTGGGCCGTTTTGTAATTAGAAAAGTTAGAGAGTCTCTGACTTTTTATTGTCATTGTAGGGGTACTATTTTTCCTTGTGTAGGCCCACAAGGTTTTAACGAGGCCCCAAATATTTTTAAATAATGGAATAATAAAGTGTTTTGGCGAAAAAAAAAACTTAGCCTACAAATACTCAAATAAGTACAGAGTGCAATTTATAAATTAAACAATGTTAGAGCCAAATTTATAATTTTATGTTGCAAATTCCCAAAAAAATATACATTTCTTTTTTCATTTTTTGTTTTGATAATTGTACATTTTTTATAGGACAAAATGCACTTCACCCCATATAATTTTTATATTTTTTGTATTTTCCCCCTAAAAATTCAAAAAAAGGACAACCCCTTCAAAATACTGTTTTGGTAGCACTTTGCTTCAAAAATCAGTTTTTGTTGGACATCGTGCATACAAAAATATTTTTAAATGGGCAACGTGTAGAAAAATTATATTTTAAGGGGCAAATGTGCAACATGTGCAACAAAATAATATTTAAAGTGGCAACGTGTAATAAAAACCCTCAATTTCGGTAAATAATCCATCGAAATTTGCTGTCGGGACTCGGGACAATGTGCAACAAGAATAACATTATGAAGGGAGTCATTCACATTTTTTTAACTTAAAGGTGGTAAAGTGAAAAAAATAGAAATTTGTAGGGGTGATGTGCCATTTGCCCTTTTTAATATACAATGTTGCGATTTCAAAATAGAAAAGATTTTGGGAAAATACAGAGTGAAACAAAAAACCCTCCATTGATTTTGGCGAAAGTGAAAACCCATCGTCTTCATCGCACACTCCTTCAGTTTCAAAGCCGAATAGATAAATCCTTTCTTCTTTTCCCATTTTGTTATGGAGAAGAAAACAGAACAGCAGAGCAGAAAACGTCGGAATCGCTCACACGTCGGAATTGATAGACTCAGCAGCTTGCCGGACAGAGTCCTCCGTCACATTCTCTCTTTCCTCCCGACCAAATCCTCCGTAAGAACCAGCATTCTAGGTCAAAGATGGAGGCATCTCTGGGCCTACGTCCCCAATTTAGATTTCGACAACGAGAATCAAGAAACCATCAACAGGGTTATGCTGCTGCGCAAAGTGCAAACCCTTCACACTTTCCTCCTCTATCACAAGATTAACTGCAGCCCCTATCAATTGGATACATGGGTTACCTTCGCCATTCTACGGAACGTGCAAAAACTCCACCTTTACTTCCGCTATCAAACTGCTCTGCCTCGATGCCTCTTCACCTGCGAAACCCTAGTTAATTTGACTCTCGATTCTTGCGGTGTCGTCCCCTCAAGTGGTGCAGTGCGTTTGCCTCGCCTCAAAACGCTTCATCTATCGTTTGTTCAGTTCGAGGCGGACGAGTCACTCCCGCACCTTATTTCCGGCTGCCCGGTTCTTGAGGAGTTGGTGATGGAGTTCTTATTGGATATGGTTCATTGTTGTATATCTTCACCTACAATCAAATTCCTCGTGTTCAATTTGGTCGCCGATGGTAGAAAAAGGGTGGAGTTAAATACCCCGGCCCTTGGATTTCTCGAGATGAGTGATTCTTTCTCCGATCATATCGAATCCGGGGCGCTCAACTCTTTATTCGGTGCGGATATCGAACTTCACAATTTCGACAAAAAACGAGACGATGTTCTTCACTCTCAAACCGTGCTGGAATTTGTCGGCAGGCTTTGCAATGTCAAACGCCTAAAACTGCATTTAGCATATGATATAAGCGTACGGTTATTCATCGATCTTGCATTAGCTCTTTCTCCATTGCTTTAGTAGTCTAACATTTGTATGTGCATTTCCTTCATCAGATTGTCGATTCATTACTCTCTGCTTGGACTGTAAGTTTTCGTAACTTAACCGAACTCAAATTGGTAGCTGATTACCGTTTCCTCTTAAAGATGCTCGAAAATGCCGATAATCTTCAAGTCCTTACTTTCTCCGAGGTTCGTTCGTGCAATATATAATCTTTTCATCTTTCCTTCTTTTATTATGTCGTCTTTACCGTATTGCGTTTTGTTGTTGTTGTTGTTGTCATTGTCAGTACTCCAATGAAATAGAACGCGCGGCAGAACCACCACAACAAGTGCCCACGTGCTTGTTATCGCGTCTAAAAATGGTAGAATTCGGTTGCATTGCAGGTCATGCGTACGAGTTGGAAGTTATAAGATATATTTTGAGGTATTCTAAAGTCTTGGAGAGGGTGAAAATAGTATACGGCCTTTGCATCGGTTCAGAGGAAAAGATTAATATGCTCCAAGAGATCTCGCTCTTTCGACGAGGATCCACTACATGTGAAGTTGCCTTCGTTCGGTATGCGGTATAAAGTTTCCTTGATGCCTAAAGATTGTCTATTGACTGATTTCTATATTAAATATGTTGAAGTGTACGTTGTTGCTAGATTGTTCCGGAGATTTGCTTCGTCCTGGATTTTTTTTGACATTGATCTTTAAGTTGTAAGGTTTCGATGCTTTGTATATTTATGTCAAATTGGCAAATGTTATTTCGAAACTGTTTTATCCATTCAATCTTGAATGTGTTGCTTTTCGCTTTTTTTTTTTTTCTTTTTCTTTTTATTCGAGCGACCTGCGATTATAGTTCTGCCCAAGGTGAAAATGAATTGCAGCAAAAACGGAGGGTTCGTAAAGCCTGCATATCGATATAGCACAACTAGATGGCCAATTTCGTATGATATTGTCCAACACCTCGTTTAACGGTCAGTCAATTTTGAAAATGGACAAATCCTCTGGCTTGGCTTGACGGTAGATGTTACTTTGTCGCATTTTGTAGTATTGAAGGGTGTATGTGCAATGTGGCAATGAAAAGTTAAAAACGTGTTTATGAATTATACGACAATATTAATATTTATATTTCATAGCCTCTCAAAAAAGAAATTGATATATCATATTCAAGTTAAAATCTTAAATTTTGCAGGGAGAGTTCGACAAAACACAATAAATAAAAAGCACCAATTAATCTTTTCGTATTCATAATTTTCATATAAAATATAACATAAGTTATAATATGGAATTACGAAATATATCATAAAATCCTATTATATACTTAAAAAATCATAGAAAATATTCTTCTAAGGTTTTAATTTACTTGACCTTTCGGTATTCATAATTTTCATATAAAATATAACATAAGTTATATTATGGAATTACAAAATATTTCATAAAATCCTATTATATACTTAAAAAATCATAGAAAATATCGGAACTAAAATCGGATCGAAAATCGGACTTCCCGGCAATTTTATATACCATTTCAATCGGAAATTGGAATGCACTTCGCCGCCTAGAAATTTCTAGTTTTCGCACTTTCCCCCTACAAATTAAAAGATGAGACACTCCCCCCTTTCATATTTGTTATAGTTGCTCTTTGCCCCAAATGGGATATTCCAATGTATTTTTCATCGATTTTTTCATATATCTCCGTCAATTTGAAGGGCTTTTTTGTCCTTTCACTAGTCCCACCCAAATATTATAGTTGTTACCGATACCGGCACAATTTCTCCTCCCTAAATATCTCTCTTCGAAGCAACGACTCAACTCTATCGGCCGCATCGTCGAAATCCGCTATGAGTTCCTTCCACAGGGGGCTGGTGGGTTGTGATGCTGGCGGCACCGACCACCGTCGTTTCCGGCAGCATATTTTAAATGCTCCATGCGACTGCAGCTACTGCAGGCGGCAGCAACACCCCCTAATCCTTCAGTCCATCCGAGGTAGCCCAGATGTGGGCATTCGCCAACCCCCATGGCAGTGGCGGCAAAGGACACACGGTGCAAGCGCCCCTGTATTTTATGCCGAGGTTCAACTACTCCGGCAATCTCGATTTCCAAGGCGGAAGATCCAACCTATTGCAGCTTGGATCGATATTGATGGAGCAGCAAATGCGTTAATATTTTGGTGAGATTGGTGAAATGATAAAAATGCCCTTCAAGTTGACGGAGATATGAAAAAACCGGTGAAAAATACGCCGGAAAATCTCATTTGGGGAAAAGTGCAACTATAACAAAATTTAAAAGGGGGACATTCTCATTTTTAAATTTGTAGGGGGGAAAGTGTGAAAACTAAAAAAAGGCCAAAGTGCATTTTGTACTAATTTAAAAAAGGGTAAATTACAAACACCCCCTGAGGTATGGTCAAATTACAAAAATCCCCCTCTTGTTTGGATAATTACATCTACCCCTCAACTATGATTTTTTGTTACACCTCCACCCTTATGGTGCCAATTCAACATAATCATCTAGATTCCGTGGAATGTGCTATAGTTTGTACTCGTTTTGTGTAAAAATAGAGTTTTCGATGCACCACAAACTGATATATACAGCTAAAAAACACATATTATGATCATCTTGCTTCATAATGTAGAGTTCGAATGGGATAAAACGGGTACAAAAGTGATAATATTTATTATAATCTTGAAGATTCCACTAAATTTAAGGAGTTGAGGGGGTCGTTGTAATTATCCAAACAAGAGGGGTGTGTTTGTAATTTGAACATACCTCAGGGGGTGTTTGTAATTTACGCTTTAAAAAATAAAAACGCTATGTGGGAGTTCAAACTTCAAAATAGAACGGGAATTGGAAAAACGAAGAGAGAAAAAACCCTCCATTGTTCACCAGATTTTGGGGAAAACCCTTTCATCGCAGTCCTTCAGTTTCAGCCGAGCAGATAAATCCTTTCTTCCAATTAGTGATGGAATTAGTTGAGTAGCTGAGCACAAAACGACGTCGTAAACGTTCGCACATGGAACAAAATAAACCCTCGATCGATAGGCTTAGCAGCCTGCCGGATTCAGTCCGCCGTCGCATTCTCTCATTTCTCCCGACCAAGTTCTCCGTAAGAACCAGCATTCTAGCTAGAAGATGGAGGTATCTCTGGTCTTACGTCCCCAATTTAATTTTCGTCAATTGGGAAAATCAAGAAATCATCAACAGGGTTATGTTGCTAAACAAATCGCAGAGCATCCACACTTTTGCCCTCTACCACAATATTGAGTGCAGCGCCTATCAATTGGAGACATGGGTTACCTTTGCCATCACGCGCCGTGTGAGAAGACTCGATCTTTATTTCCAATCCCAATTTGCTTCGCTGCCTCGATGCCTCTTCACCTGCAAAACCCTAGTTTGTTTGAGGCTGGAAAATTGCGGTCACATCCCCACGAGTGGCGCCGTGTGTTTACCTCGTCTCGAAAAGCTTTATCTAACTTATGTTCTATACGAGGCTGATGAGTCCCTCCAGTACCTGATATCTGGATGTCCTGTTCTCGAGGAATTGGAAATCGACTCGTGCGGTGCTATCGCTCATTGTAAAGTATCTTCGCCTACAATAAAAAGGCTCGTGATCGATTTAAGGTGGGGAGGAAACAGGCTGGATATAAATACCCCGGCAGTTAGATATCTTGAAATACATTTTACTTTATTGGAGCATATCAAATCTGGGCCGCTCGACTCTTTAGTTGAAGCAGAAATCCGGCTCCGCAATGATGATATGGAGCAGCACGATTATCTTTATTCCCGATCGGTGCTGGAATTTATTGGTAGGCTTTGCGGTGTCAGTAAGTGCCTATTTTTAGAATTAGCATTTAGTACAAAGGTACAGTTTTTCAATCTTTAGTCACCTCATTGTCCATTTCTTCGGTGATGACAATTGACGAGTAATCTTATATATATTGTCATCATTTGTTTACAGATTGTCGATTCGTTAGTCTCTTGTTGGACTTTGCGTTTTCGTAACTTGATCGAACTCGAATTGAAAGCAGACTATC